CGCCGGCGGCTGCTCGGCAGGTTTAGGTGCCGGCAGCCTCTCGGCATATTTGGTGAGCGCTGCGGCAGCCTCTCGGCAGATTTGGTGAACGCTGCGGCAGCCTCTCGGCAGATTTGTTCAGCGCGCGGCCCTCATCTGCCGGAGAGATCGGCCGACCGCCGCTGACGTCAGCAGGCCGAGTGCTGACTGCTGACGCGGCAACTGGCCGCTCGCCGGATGTGCTGATTGCCCACATATTGAGCCAGCGTCGACACTAAGCCCGCGGATCAGCGTGGCCTTTGTCGGTTGGCGGGTTATATATGGACTATTCGGACACGTAACTATGTTGGGAAGCTGTGGTAGGGTGCCGATTGGCGGCCGGCTGTCACATCTCCCTGTATCTTCCCATCGTTTTCGTAGTCTGGCCCAGAGAGAACTGATGTCAGGGGCCATACGCCATACGGTCAGCATCGAATGAGTTTAACAGAAGATAAACTTTTCGTTGGCTGTTTACCTTATAAGCGTACTGTTTTGACTGCCGTTAAGTTGAAGCAGGCGACATGACATAAAAAAGTTCAAAATAATGTAGCGACGTAAGTTGTAATCGATCAGCGCTCACTGGCTTCTGAGTCTGCCGACTGAGCCATCAGCTCTCCGTATGTTCCCCTGACCGCTCCGCCCCCCCCCCCCCCGGTTGACCTTGGACCGGGCGACCTTCTCGGGCCGTCTGACCCGGTTCGCCGTGTTCCCGTGCGGTCGTCCCGCGCTCCGCTCGCTCACGCAGTCGGCTCGCTCTCCTGTGCGTGAGCCGCGCCTGATAGCGGGCTGCGCGCCGCCATTGTTTCACTGGAGGGCCGCCGACGCTCCTCCTTTGTGGCCGGTGACGCGCGTCCTCGCATACGGGCCGCCCTAATTCGTGGATGCGTCTGCCACATTCTAATAACCGCCGCTTTGTTTCGGGTGGCGCGTGCTTAGGTTGACAGGCAGAGATGGCGCCCTGCCTTTTGAACGTCACTGAATGTTAATAGCTGTCAAAGAGTTGGGTGGCGGGAAATGAACAGAGTGAAAGTAAATTTAGCTGTCGAAGAGCTCTTTTAATTTGTGGCATATTTTCCTCGCAAGTCACAAAACATTATTGTAGTCTCAAATCTGAACGCACTCATAGGTAGCCCTAGCGTGCCCTAACTATTAGACCAAACCTCGCAAACATTTTAGTTTTCCTCTCCATTGTGCGATATTGTTTGCGGCTTTGCGTAGCCGTACTGCAGAGGCGGGGCTTCCCAAGTCCCATGTGGCTGCAACAAAGTCACTTGTAATCGACGATGATCAGAAGAACGGTACTGCTGGACATCCCTGGATGAAAGTGTGGGCCTCCCCAGATGAACTGGGCGGGACACCCTACGTCATGGGCTACTTGGGGTTGGATGCGATGACTGACAGTGTCATCGTGACTGGGTCGTTATTACTGGCCAAGTGAGCCTACGGACTACCTGCCTGTTGGCGGGGCGTCATTCTGTCGGCATTCTGCCATTGTTTTGACCAGCAGTCGGGCACGGAGTGGAGTGCCGGTTGTTGCCTGCACGGAGAGGCTGTCATAATACGGCTCTGCGTCGCTGTCTCGGTAACCACTGGCACCTGGCTAGCCGGGGACCGCTGTGGCGCCGCTCCCGGCTCCTGGAAACCCAGGAAAAAGGTGCGCGCTGGCCTTCTGAGCCAGCGATCAGCTGACTAGCCGACTGCGGCGGCGGAGACCCGTTCTCAGCGTTCTCAGGGCTCGTTTACGGACAACGGTATCCGAGACAAAGCGACAAGGGCTGGCACGGCATGGGAGAGCGGGATTTTGGCCATGGAATATCGAGCTGAACCTAATGGGCTCGGGCGGAGTTTCGAAAATGGTCTACCAGGCTTTGAGGCTGATGAGGATTTCTTTTGCGAGATCACCACTGTGGTGATGGAATTTGAAATGGAAATGAACTCGCTGATGTGCGTATCCATTTTCAGCACGGCTTAAAATGGAGCCCGACGACCTGAATGTCCCCATAAATCGGGCCTGGGTGGCGGAATGAGGCGCCGCGGCGCGGAGGGCGCTGTTGAGAGCGGCGGACCGCGCTGGTGTGTCGGTCCCTGGACGGTCCACAGACCACTCTGGACCAGACGCAGTGCGGAGGGCGGATTGTGGAGCGCCGCCCTGGCCTTGGGCGGCGTGCGTCTCGGCGCGCGTGGTATGGCTGGGATGTGGAGTGGTCGCCGGTCCGAGGGACGACCACCGAGACGGACGAATGCCGAGCGGTCGAGATAGGTGGCCGCGTGACGTCGGTGGCCTGACGACGGCAGTCACGGTCAAGATTACCTTATTTCAAAGTAATGATAGGCAGCGGTCAATGCTGACCTTTGGCCAATCTGGTTCACCCTCTAATTCCCATGCATACCAGGTAATAGATTGATGAGCAAAGGACATCATGGCGATGAAATAAATATTTAACAAATCTTCTCTCACTAATTCTAGTCCGGAGCATCTAACCTGACCTGACCTGACCTGCTGGGAGGGGAGGGTGGTGGGTGGCCCGGTGGTGACGCGCCCGCCGCCGCCGCTCTGTCTCTAGGAAGGTATGGCCGCACCGGCGCCGTACGGGGCCGACGAGCCGCCGCCGGCGGTCGTGCTGCGGCGCAACATGGCCCGCTCAGTGAGCGACTCGGGCGGCCGTCGCCAGCGGCCTCTGTCGCTGCCGCTGGCCTCCATGCAGCTGCAGGTAGGTTTAGTGGTGCGCACCGCCGAGTCGACAGCTGCACCCTCCCTGCATCGCCGGAAACCGAGACCCAAACCATCGACCCAGCGCCACCCTCTAACTCAGCCCTAGTTCCGCTCACCCGTCTTGTGAGGTGTGATTTGTAGCTGAGTTTCTCGAGAAAGCACTTCCCCAGCCCCGAGAAAGTTTTTCATGCATTTTATGGTGTCTTGCACATTAGGGTCTTCATTCCAATTTGGGCTCACCCTTGTAACGATGCTTGTAAACAAGTCTCGCAAGAGACTTGTTTACTTGTTACGAAGCAGACCCGTCGTTTTCGTTGTCCAACTTAATTCTCCCTTCTAATGCCGCCCGAACAACCCTTTTTGTGCCGTAGCTCTTTCCCCCTCCCGCCTCATTTTCCCCGCCTGTCTGGCAACTGGACCGGCTAGAGCATAGGACACAGTATTGCACTCGGCGAAAGGCCCGTTCCATACCGTGCTGTGTTAGCCCGCGCTCGGCAACTGGCAGGTGCCGTGGGCTAGCCGCTCGCCCGGCGGCTGGCTGGCGCCGTGGGCTAGCCCTCGCCCGGCGGCTGGCGGCGTTGCACCACCGAATGGGCTGTGCGGTGGCGTTCCGTGCCGTTAAACCGCTGCGGCCGGCGGCTGTGACGAATGGCCTTGTTTTGATGCCGCGAGAGGAGAGATCTCTGGCCGAACGGCCCACCCCCGGGCCAGCTGGCAGCTGACGCAGCTGGCCCGGCCAGCGGTTTTGACATCGCTACTCCTCTGACTCGCGCGGACGGACTGACGCTGACTGACACACACATCGGTTGACACTGGCTGGCAGATACAGAAACTGACAGATCCCGATTGATGTGCTGATATGATGTGCTATTGTTCGAATTCGTTCTGTGTTGAGACACATTTTATGTCGTAATACGTTCGCATTACATGCATTGTTTTAGTGGATATGATCAGTGATCAGTCGTGATCTTTGATGGAAGTCGTCATATGTGGTTCCGCCGGGTGTCGTTCATGCCAGCGGTGGTCCTGTCTGTGTCAATCGTTTGTATCTACAGTGATGCTGTCTGACACATTTGTCAAACCGTGGTGCCGCCCTTGTCGTTCAGTGGATGTTATAGTTGTTCTCTGTGTGATGTGTCTAATACCTACCAGTAAAACGCCTTTTGGGCGGAGAACGAGCGAGCGAGATAGTGAGCCCTGCACGTGCGGAAGGGTGAGAGGGTACTTCCAACGGGCTTGTGCAAAGCGCCCTTCTAACCGGTCGCTAGCGGTGTGCCAAATTTGAACGCAATCGGCCTAGCCGTTCCTGAGATCTGGAAGCGGCATTCTGCACGTGCGCACGTGCAAACGGGGTCCAAAATGACTTTTGCACGGCACTCTACTAACCGGTCCCCAACCGTGTACCAAATTTGAGCGCAATCGGCCCAGCCGTTCTCGAGATCTGGAAACGCCCCCTGCACGTGCGCACGTGCAGTAGCACCCTAACCGCAACACATGGGAATGCATTGCCTGGTGGGTGCCTACCTGTATGCCAAGTTTCAGCGAAATCGCCCCAGTAATTACCGAGTTATTGAAATGGGAGCAAATTTGGCACCTCTTCTTTTTGCATTTTGCACGTGCAGTAGGGGTCACTCACATAGATCAAGGGTATCCGACCTTTGGTAGAAGGGATGAAGCTACCCTATAAAATTACCGCAAGACAATCGCCCAAGCGGCTGCTGAGATATGAGCCTCTCAAAATCACTACTTTTTCAGAACAGCTTGAACACCCTTGACTTTTCACGTGGCACGTGCCACGACAGTCACTGAGATGTATCAAAAGTAGTCAATTACGGGGTAGAAGGGATGGGGTTACCCAGCAAAAAAGACCGCAGGCCAATCGGTCCAGCGGTTGCTGAGATATAAGCCTCTCAAAAGCGTTACAGGCCGGGCCGGGCCGGGCCGGGCCGCTCATACTGAGATTTTTCCGTTATATTGAAAAGACTTCGCTTCGCTCGCTGCGCTCGCTCGCTCGTAATAATGCTGTTTTATTATTTGTCAGTCTCTGCGTCGTATACATATCTGAATGGATGCCGTCTAATGTAGGTACCCCGTCTGCATCATTCGTGATATTCTGTCAGGCGCTGCACTGTCTCGTCTGCATCAATGAGCGGCCGTCTCCTAATGTGCCCCGTCTCGGCCAGTCGTTCTGGCTGTCGATCTGTCACTGTGCGTTTCTCTGCTTCAATGAGCGGCTGCCGTCTGATGTTCCCCCTTTGGTCTTTCGCAGAAGGAGCTGAACATCAGTAAGCGCTCGTCGCGGGCCCACCGCCGCTCGGTTATCGTCACATCGTCACCGACACTGCCGAGATGTCACTCACCAATGCCAGGTAAGCATCGAATAGGGACGTATACCAAAGGCGAATTGTGATTAAGCATATTTTTAACGTTTTATGGCGACATAATTACTATTTTCTTCCTTCCCGGCCCCATGAAACTTTGTCTTCTCAAAGTTCATGATACGAAATAAATTCTTAGGTATTTTCTGTCTCCTCATATCTCTCCGTCACCCACTTCCACCCCCCCCCCCATCCTCCATTCCTCTCTCCCGTTCACCACCGATATCCCGCCGTGTTGTCATTCGGTCAACACCGCCCCGGAAAGTGGCCTCGGGTCGTGTTTGGTGTCAGATCTCTGATGATAGCTCCCCTCACACTCTCCCCACCCGCGCTGTTTGTTTGGGGATTGGGATAACGGTGGGAGAGAGCGGGACAACAATCGGAGCAGATGGCCGCGCCCGTGACGCCGCGATGTGCGCACATAGAGCGATTATAGCGGAGTATGACGCCAGATTATGCTCACCGACCGTTACCGCCTACTCGCATACTGGAATATGACAGCGGGATATACCCATCGTCAGCAAAGTCACTGGAATATGACGCTCGGATATACCCGCAGCAGTGGGTATCAGGAACGTTTAACAGCCTGGAAGAGTCAGCGCAGGCTGCCTTTCTACCAAAATCATTTTCCATAATTGCAAGCAAAAGCATTGCTCCGAAGCAGCATCCTCTTGTCATCCAATGTACTTTGTGACCTGGCTCTGTTCAGTGGTCAGCCCAACCCTCCCCGGCTCGGTTGCGTGGCCCTGACGTGGAAATAACGAGAGCGGATGTATCGCTCGCCGGTTGAGCCAGATAGCGGCCATCGATCCATCCATGACGACATAGCCATTTGGCCGGAACGACGCATCTCCAATCACGTGTCGCCCCGCCACGCCCCCGCCCCCGCCCACGGCTGTGACGTCAGCGGCCGTCGGCGCCAGCCGTGTGACGCCACGGTCCTTCATTGGGTGTGGGTGTGTGTGGGAGATGCACGTGTAAGTGCGAGCTGGTGGGTGGGCGTACGTGCGCGTGTGCGCGTGAAGGGTGTGCGTACGCGCGTGAGCGAGTGTCTATCGCTGTCTTCCCCTTTCAGTCCGTCTGTCTATCTGTGAAAGTCACTGACGGTCTGGCACATCGTGTTCACAGGCAGTCCCGTCGACAGCCCCAAGAATATGTCACCGAACCAGCACTTCGCGTTTGCCGCCGTGAAACGGTAAGTGCTCTGTGCCTAGTGTTACTGATATTGTGCAATCGCCCTGGCTGGACGGGTATCATGGGGCTCAGTCCTCTGTCAGGTCTATGACGAACGCGCTGAGTAGCTTTGATATCATCCGGTATAGTCGGGCGCCAGTAAACTCGCTCGCAGTCATCGCTAGCACCTAACTGGTTCCTAACTAGCGAAAAGGTCTCTTACTTTAGCTAGATCGCGTGAGCCTTTCCATCCGCCATAGTATGGCTGTCTTTTCCGGACCGCATTGGTCCAGTTCAGTCCGCTCTAGTCCGGTACGGACCAGTCCAGTCCGGTCCAGTCCTGTCCGGTTCAGTCTTGTCCGGTCCCGGACTCTCGTTATAAAACAGGCATACATAGACGGTCGGATAGTCTGGCATCAAGGCTCTATCCTCCACTAAAGCTGACCTATTAGCCTTCAGATATGTAATATATTTGCTTTGCTGAGTGATGAGAGCACTAGCAATAGGCATTAAGTTTGCACTCAGAATGCTGACAAGTGAATTAAGAGACTTGCCCCATATAAGGGACTTCCATTGGCTGAGTGATGGTAAATGCTCTTAGCGTAGTCTGCGCGTGTAGACGTATGTTTTCCATCATGCAGGCATGTAAATGGTACCAGTATAACGCCTTTTGGGGCGACTAACGGAGCGAGCGAGAGGGTGGGCCTTGCACGTGCGAAATTGCGAGGGGGTACCTCCAACTGACTTGTGCACGGCACCCTACTAACTGGTCTCTAGCGATGTGCCAAATTTGGGCACAATCGGCCCAGCCGTTCTCGAGATCTGGAAGCGGCACCCTGCACGTGCGCACGTGCAAAATGGTTCCCAACTGACTTGTGCACGGCACCCTACTAACCGGTCCCTAACTGTGTACCAAATTTGAGCGCAATCGGTCGAGCCGTTCTCGAGATTTGGAAACGACCCCTGCACGTGCGCACGTGCAGCAGCACCCCAACTCTGGCACATGGATGTGCATTGCCTAGTGGGTGCCTACCTACATGCCAACTTTCAGCGCAATCGGCCAAGTAGTTACCGAGATATTGCAACAATTACAAAAGTGACACCTCTTCGTTTTGCACGTGGCACGTGCATAAGGGGTTACCCACATGCATCGGGAATAGTCCAATACTTGGTAGAAGGAATGAAGCTACCCTACAAAAATTACCGCATGTAAATCGGTCAAGTGGTTGCTGAGATATAAGCCTCGCAAAAGCGTGACCACGGCCGGCCGGCCGCTCATACTCAGAAATTTCCGTTAATCTAAGGAAAGACTACGCTCGCTTCGCTCGCTCCGTAACTAAGCTATTTGATCTGACCGGTGGACGTCATGTGCTCTGGTAGGATGTTAGACGCTAGTGGTCAGAGTCTCAATCTATCCGGCGACCCGTGTGTGCTCCCCAAGGTCTCCTGTGTGAGCTCCCCTCTCTGACTGATGGCCCGTATGTGTTCTGACAGGACGGTGGACGGGCGGCGCTGGCCGGGTGCCGATGTGTGCTCCCCAGTGACGAGCGATCTGTGTGTGCTCGCTGTTCTGACCGGTGTTCGGTATGTTTTCTGACAGGACGGTGGACGGGCGGTGCTGGTCGGTGGCCGGTGTGTGCTCCCCAGTGACGAGCGATCTGTGTGTGCTCCCCTCTGACTGGTGTTCGGTATGTTTTCTGACAGGACGGTGGACGGGCGACGCTGGTCGGTGGCCTCCCTACCGTCGTCCGGGTACGGCACCACTCCCGGCAGCTCCAACGTCTCGGTGAGTTCGGCACGGCCGCAGAAACCACTCCTCGGGACCCCTTACACCTTACCGCAGTCCCATACGATGACTGACACCATCTCACAGTCCTTGACGGCCACTGTGAGTCCTGTCACCAGCTCACCTTCACACCGACCACAGTCACCACACCACCGCGCATTCGCAAACAGTCACTAATGTTACCCGAAATTACCCCACGGCAACTGATTCGACAGGGTCATTGACTGTAAACTCACCCAGTTTGGCCATCCGCTGACGCCGCCCTGTTCCCACGGAGTACGCCCCGTTTCTGCGTGCTCTGTGTTGTCCGCTGTGAGCGCAGCCAGTGAGTACGTTGTGATTACCTATTACTGACGGCTGCGTGTACTCCCCTGCGCCCCGGCAGTCTCAGTGCTCCTCCCAGGAGCGGCTGCACCAACTGCACTGCTGTGCCCAGCCTCCCCCTCCGCCGGCGCCGGTCACCGGAGACCTGGCGCGTCACTTTTCGTCCAACGAGTCCAACCCCAGCCTGGAGGAGGAGGGCCGCTCGTCGCCGCTGGTCCGGCCTCGCTCCCGGTCTCTTAGGTGAGTGTCGCCCTCTCCTCCTTGACACCTTGGTAGCTTAGTCAGGGTCCATGACTAGACCCTAGTCATGGATCCGGGACTCAATTAGTCTCGTGGTATGCTCTAGCAGCAATGGAGTGCTGTCTAATTTCGCCCCTGTCGGTGTGAGACCGTCCGGTGCCGACGGTGTATACCGCCACTCACCGCTCCTCCCCGGCCGTCCACAGCCTGGCCTGGCTCTGCGTTGCCACTCTCGAGTAAGCCTCGTCTCCACTATCGGCCGCTGTGCATTGCTTTGTCTATGACTGACTGGATGCCTGCTCTGTTGCTGTGCTGGCTTGCCCCCTTCCGCTCTACAACGCCGCGCCTGTGATCCCATTTTCCTGACTGGCATTTCCTTTCCTTTCCTGGCTTGCTGTCAGACAAGTGTATGCGGAATGAGCACCTACCATCCCAACTGGCCTCTGTCTAGTTTGAGAGAAATGGATGCGGATCTTGTTTATAAACCACTACGAGCAAATCATTCGATTTATTCCATTCCATTTCTTCCTGTCTGGTGAGGTAATGGAAATATGATATGTCGACTGGAATGGAAATCCCGCGAGCATTATATCTTATTTTGATGAGCATGTTGAACTCTGCGACGTTGATGGATGCCTACTCAGATAGGACTGCGATCGAGAGTATTTGGCTGAGCTTGGCAAAAAAAAAAAAAAAACACTGGTAGTGGCTCCGAATGTGTCGTATTGCTACGATTCCAGGATAGGGTGGGTCGGTCACTAATCGACATAACGGCTAAAACTGACTGGCGTGGAATGTGGATGCTGAAGGGCCAGTGGAATTTCATGTAGTGAAAGCTACACTGGTCGGTTAGCAGATGAGCCAGTACCGGGCTTTAGTATCGCATCATCACAGGGTATAATGTATCAGACAGGATATATGGCGTGTTCAGACTTACGAAGTCCGTGGGAAGCATGCTTATCATTTTTATAAGGAAGAAGGCTTCAGCGAAGTCTGGGATAGAGTGGGTTTATCGGTTCCAGTGAAGATAATGCAATGAGAAGCGCTTGCGTCATATGCCCTGGGTTTTATGATATTGTGTATTCGGACAGTGTTTATTTTACGGCTGGTACAGTGTTTTGTTCGCATCTGTTGCGTATGATATAAATTTATTGTTTGGACGGTGTACTTTGTTCTTTGAAAGAACTTGTCTATGGAGGATATGGTTCCAGTCACGGGGGTCAACGCGCTGTTGTCTGGTGGACGTCCCCTGTTATCGACTGCGTCTCTTTCCTTCCGCCCTGCTGTCCCCACTCGGTTCTAAAGTTCAGTCCGATGAATTGCTTCCCGGTGTTTTCACTGTTCACTGTGAGCGGTTCCGGCAGTAGGGATGGCTGGGTGCAGGGTAGCCGTGTGGGTGCACTGAGCACCACAGCGGGTTCCTCTTAACCAGCGGTGGACGGTCAGACGGAACTGGGGCGGAATTCGAGGCTGAAATGTCCCACTGAAAAGACCAAACCTGACCTGTTTGAACGTACAGAGTCGCAGACCAGACCAGACCAGACCAGACCGATTATCTGTCTTATCGTACAGACCAGAGCAGGCAGGCCTTCTGTTTCGTAGTGCTCTAGAGACCAGACTGACTTGTCTACCGTATACATCCGCCTTGACTCTCTTTCGACTGTCACTCCGTTTCACTGTACTGGCCTGGCTAAACCGACCCTTTGTCCTTCTATGTCGGACCTAACCAGCCGTCTACCCCACTGTAAAACTAAAGACCAAACCCGCTTGGTCCCGGCTGTCTCCGGAAGGGTGTTTCGCCAAGCAGTTACGAGCTGGCCTGATGCCGAGTTTAACGACTTTCTCCACCTCTGACGGCCTAAGCCGGCCGGTCCCTGTGAAATGTTTGACGAGTTGGTCGTCTATTACTGCGCCCAGTTTTATCGCACACTCGCTGAAATGTTGTCCGGGCAGTGGAAATGTGGTGTCGCAGAAACTTTTCGACGTGTTCGTAACTTTCATGGATGTTATCACAGTTTCGGTGATGTGTCATGCATTTGTTATATTTTGTTTGACTGTTAGGAGTGCTGCTTAATAGCGTAGTTTAAATGTAAATGCATACTTGTATATGTTTTACTGCTACATTGTTGCATACTTGTATAATAGTCTTTGGAAACATTTTTAGATTGTAGTAGAAATGGAAGTACTTCAAGTTGTAGCCTCAATAGAAGTGCATTGATTGATAAACCCCACCACAAAACTACCTATTCGTTCAATATACCCTTCGATGTAATTACCCCTTCGTTTGATGTAACCTGAAAGGTATAATTACTCACAAAGTCTTCTCTTGACGGCAGCTGTTTTAGTTCGACTGTTCAGTGTCTGCGCTAACTTGGAGGCGATCGTGTAACGTAGCTGATCAGAGCACCGGCACCAGCCGGTGCCGTAGGAAGATGCGTATTCTCTTCTTGTTAGTACGCAATATTTCAAACGATTACTGAGCATGGACGTTAAAAGAGAAATAGTCTTGAGCTTTTTTCGCTATTGACATGAACAAGTTTTCATATAACGTTAAAATGTATTCAGCCTTCTATCCGCTTTAGTTTGTATCACCCTAAGCCTCGGCCTGTTTGAGTCTGCCTCGCGTGTAACGCCGCCTGTATTTGTGTTTATTTGGCTTGTAACGTATGAGCCAGCTGCTCCCAGTCATTTCCAACCCATAGAGATTCCTGGGAGCGTGCCCCGTTATCTGACGTGTCCCGACTGTTTCGCGGTGTTTCAGGCAGTGTGTCTTCGGGCAGGGACCCCGGACTTGTGTACTTCTGCCTTCTTCTAACCTTCGCCTCCCCGTCTGTTGTTTCAGTTCACCCATGCGCACGCCTCTGATTGACAATGACGTGGTGATCATGAACACACTCTACAAGGAGCGCTTCCCCAAGGTAAGACGAGCCGCGGTGGTAGCGAGGCTGACCTGGGTGTGATACTGGGTCTGGGTCCGACCAAAAGTCTGATATTGGGTCTGTGTCTGACATGAGATCTGATAATGGGCCTGGATTTGTTTTAGGTCAGATATTGCCGCAGGTCTGATACTGGGTCTGGGTCTGTCTTTGATCTGAGTTCCTTAGTTATGATTCCGGGTCCGTCATGGGTTTAATTTCTGCCCTCATTGGTCATATCACGATGCTGCCAAAGCTATAGCTGCGACCTTCATTCCATCCACTGGCCTCTGCCGAGCCAACCCAGGCGCCAGCGGGTCGCAGTTCAGGCTAATGACGTCATAGCTCAGCGAGCCGTCGGAGCCAGCTGCTGACGATCCGTCCGCCCCGAAATTGATGACGTCACTCGCAGCGCTGATGCGGAAAACCATTCTGCCAGCTGCAAGGGACAAACGATTCATCACCGCTAGCGAGGCTGATTGTGTTCCTGTGCTGGTTATTTATAGCTGCTTTACCCTATCGGGAGACTTTTCCTTTGACCTTTGATATAGATTTATTCCTTAGCTTCGCCTCTGCGTGGCAAGTCCCTTTCTGAGTTATGCAGAACATTATGTGTCCTGCCAAGCTTCGTTATTTTTAGATCTAACTTAACCAGACCTGGTTTGACCTTACCTGACGCGACTTTGTTAGGCATTATACGCCGCCACCTAGCGTGCTTTGCTCTGCCCTGCTCTGACCTCTGACCTTTCGTGCCCCCAGGCGACGCAGCAGATGGAGGACCGTCTTCAGAAGCTAATTGAGGAGAACGAGGTGACTGATTTGGAGACGGAAGACTCGTCACCCTCGGCGGTGGCCATCCTCCGCTTCGTGCGGCATCAGGTACGTGCTGGCCCGCTGGCTCTCATGGTCATGGCTGATAGCGCTGGCCCATCGCTCTGTTCCTGTGGCCCACGGGCAGACACTGGGCTAACGCAGTCTGGTATTGCTTCGAACGATGGAAAGCGAGACGCAAGATACGGATCATCAGGGTAGCTCGGATGAGGATGTGAAAGCCGATGAACATCACTTGCGATGATATCCGTAAAATTATGGAGTTTCTGGTCTTCTGGTGCATTGTGGTTCGAACCATGCTAACTTACAACAGTTTGAGGCCACTTTGGATAGCAGTTGTGTCCTGTCCGAGTGAAGTGCATTTGCGTGTTGGCTGACATCTGTGTGCTTTGCCAGGTGATGGAAATGGTTCGCGACTGTCTGAGCAAGTCTCAGGAGCGGTGTATCACAAGTCGCTACTTTTACGACCTCTCAGAGAACCTGGAGAAGTTGCTCAATGAGGTAAGTGTTGAGCGATGAGCCTTGAGAGCTTATGTGTGTTATGGAACTGCCACTTCCTAGGGAACCCCCTGCATTGTGTCTTTGTACCAATTGATGAGTTGTACAACCACTGAACGGTATTTTTCTACAATGCGTATCAGTAGAGTATTCCCCGTACCGACCATAGGCCACGCACTGACCGACCCTCCTCGCCCCTCAGACCCGGGAGAAGTCAGCCGAGGCGGCCCGCCGGGTGAGCTCTCTGGTCCGTCGCCTCCTTCTCATCATCTCTCGGCCGGCGCGGCTACTCGAGTGTCTGGAGTTCGACCCGGAGGAGTTCTACCACCTTCTGGAGCGGGCCGAGGGACAGGCGCGCTCCTGTCAGGGTATCACTACCGATATACCGCAGTACATCGTCAGCAAACTGGGCCTGAAGCGCGACCCGCTGGCAGGTGAGGACGGAGAGACCATGGTGGACAGTAACTGTGACCATGGTCACAGTTATCTTGGACAGGGCAGACACTCCTTGGGTTGGAGAATCAGAGGTGAACGGTGAACAGAGGGTGCTGGTACGGTAGAACCTTAATTAGACATTTCCCTTAGTGCCTGCCAAAGTTCCTATGTTTCCATGTTGACACCGTCTTACCGTCCTATGTTTCTATGTTGACACCATTTTACAAGCGGCTTGCGAAACAGTCGCGTGCTGGCCATTTGTAACCCATTTTCTCTATGTGACGAGCCGGCTTGTTAAGGGTCCCATAAGTGCCGCCACTCCGTCTATTGATTTTCTTCCAGCTGTACAATACCTTAGAAGCGATGCCGTGTCGCACTGAGGCTTACGTTGGCATCTCTCCCATGTTTCAGAGCTGACCGAAGACTTAGTACAAATGGAGGAGGAGGCGTCGGCGTCCGCTCCGCCGCAGGCCTCCACTCCTAAGAAGGCCGACGGAGAGGACGCCAAACCGATGCGGAGGACTGTGCACAAGGTGGGTTGAACTGCTGGTCACTGCCGAGCCGGCTGCTGGCTTGTCAGCTACCTCTCTATCGACTAGGCTGGTGTTGATTGGTACTGTAGGAGCTAGTTTTCTCAGCGCTCCCGGGATTGTGCCCCAGGGACACCAACTCCGTTCCGCCTGATGGTGTGTCTGGGATGTGATCCCAGGGGAACCCGCTCCAGCTGACCTTGTGTCTATTGTCTGTTGCTCTGGAACGACCTGTCTGTATGTCTGTGTGTCTGTGGTGGGCGTCCCTGGTGTGGAAGTCGTCCCCGTCTGATCGTGTATATGTGGTGTACTCTCCTGGGACCTGAGCCTGTCTGACTTTATGTATTGTATACGCCCTTTAGATGATTCGTCTATCTGTGTTTGTGTGTGTGTGTGTTTTTTTTTTTTTTAGTCGCTTTCCCTGACACAGCACCCCACCGACAACCAATTTCGCTCCACCAGGTGGCCAGCGAGGACGACTACGAGCGTGTAAAGCTGATCTCGAACGGCGCGTATGGCGCCGTCTACCTAGTACGGCAGCGCGGTACGCGACAGCGCTTCGCCCTGAAGCGGATCAGCAAGCAGAACGTGGTGCTGCGGAACCAGATGGAGCAGGTGCTGGCCGAGCGAGACATCATGAGCTTCACCGACAACCCCTTCGTCGTCAGCATGTACTGCAGCTTTGAGACCAAGGTGAGTGCCTGGGAGAGCGAAGTCCCGCCGGATGGACTTCGGGATTAAATACAGTGTAATATTCTCTCTCAGGTGCAGGCTATTTCAACACAATTACTTATTCAAATAAATTTTACATACATATTATGCCTACGTATTGTCGCGGAAGCGCAATTTTATTTTAAAGCTTCCTTCCAGTATAATGGAATGAATATAAGTGCGATTTCACATTGCTCGCCTGTGGCACGGAGCTGCACTGCTATTGCGTTCTCCTTCCGTCCGTTTCCAGCGGCACCTGTGTATGGTAATGGAGTACGTTGAGGGCGGCGACTGCGCCTGCCTGCTGAAAAACATCGGTATCTTGCCCGCCGACATGGCGCGACTCTACTTCGCCGAAACTGTGCTGGCTGTCGAATACCTCCACAGCTTTGGCATCGTACACCGTGATCTAAAGCCGGATAATTTACTCATTACCAGCATGGGACACATCAAGCTGACCGACTTTGGGCTCAGCAAGATGGGCCTCATGTCACTGGCCACGAATTTGTACGAGGGGTATATCGACAAAGAGACGAAGCAGTTCTCGGATAAACAGGTAAGCCAAGCAGCCGTCCAGTGCTTGCCGTAATGGTTCTCCATATTCTAACGTAGCTAGAGACGTTATGGGCCTGCCCTCAGCTGTTCTAAATGTGGGTCCATTTTGACTTACTCGCTTATCGTCGTGACTGGCGTGGTCATCAACCTTCTTTTGAAACATACCATGTGAATTGTGATGTAGCTGGTTCATCGCGAGACAAACCAGCTATGTAGCTCATCGGCCATATCTCATCGGCCATGTAGGTTAGCCGATGAGATATAGCCATGGGTCATGACAAGTGAGATGTGACGTTTGACCTGTATTGTGACCGTGACTTTGACCTGACCTCTGTGACCTCCAGGTGTTTGGCACGCCCGAGTATATCGCGCCGGAGGTGATCCTACGGCAGGGATACGGCAAGCCGGTCGACTGGTGGAGCATGGGTATCATCCTGTACGAGTTCCTGGTCGGATGCGTGCCCTTCTTTGGCGACACACCCGAGGAGCTGTTCGCGCACACCGTCAATGGTGAGTGACCGAGGGGGCTGTGAGGAAAGCCTAGTCAGTCCGTATGACTGATTCTAGGCTAGTGAGGTTATACCAGTCATCCAGTCGTGGGGACTGCTGACTGCCGCTGTTCTTTCCTTCTCTTCATGTCTATTGAATAGTGCCATACAGATCGTCGCCATTCTCCGGGTCATCTCGTCGTTTTTGTTACCGGTACATTTTATTTTGATCAGTTCGACCTCGTCTCAGACGCATTATGGTGATGTGGTAGATGACTGTATGCATATGAGAATAATGTAAGTGCTAGCTTAGCCTGATTGACTCACTGTCCTCAATCGAACAGTCTCGCTTCGCACAACCGCTGTAGGTGTTCGGCGGATGGTCTTCCACGGAGCTCGTTTCCGTTTCAGATGACATTGAGTGGCCGAGCGACGAGGAGTTCCAGGTGCTTCCCGAGGCCCGTGACCTGATCTCCCAGCTGTTACAGCAGACCCCTCTGGAAAGACTGGGGACAGGCGGTGCCCAGGAGGTCAAGGTGAGTCCTGGGTGGGCCACACTGCGAGTGCCACGGCTTTGTCAACGTCTGCGTTTCTTATTGAACCCAAGCGTATAAATGAATGAATCTGTTACATAAACCGTCCCGGCTAAGTATAATGGTGAATTTGTGGACTTTGTAGTTAAATAGGTTTGTAAGTGCTAATGGTACGTGTGATGTTGCCTGCAGGACCACGCGTTCTTCCTGAACCTGGACTGGACGAACCTGCTGCGCCAGAAGGTCGAGTTTGTACCGCAGCTGGAGGACGACGAAGATACCAGCTACTTCGACAGTGAGTCATATTGTCTATACTCTGTTCCGTTTCAAGTTTGCAGCCGAAGTACCTGCTGAAAGCAGTGCGTGGTTTCTGTATATACAGTTCTTACATTTTAAGACGCTACTTCCTGAGCGGAGGAGCGATCTGCCGAAGAAACTCCGACCGCAAGCTTGATATGGAACAGACTATAGCCTCGCCCTGTTCGAAACCACGCTATAACACTCAGGTCCGCTCAACACTCTCGGCTGTTTGCCTACACCGGCTGAGAGGGTAGCTTC